GCTAAGCCTTGGGTTCTTTTTCAAAATTTTGGCGTTTTCTTAAGATGGCTGTAACTTAAAAAATTGAAGTCGGAATCAGCTCAAACTTTCTACATGGAATAAGGACATGAATATATATCAGAAAATGTAATAAAAATTTGGAGTGATTTTGGAGCAATTTTTTGGACAAAACCATGGGCTTTAGGTATTTTTCTTCAGAAAAACCTTAGGTATTTTTCAGAATTTTCGCGTTTTCTTAAAATGGCCATAACTTGAAAAATTGAAGTTTTAATCAACTCAAACTTTCTACACAGCATAAAGACATTAATATGTATCAGAAAATTTAATAAAAGTTTGGGGTGATTTTGGAGCCATTATTTCGGAAAAAGCATGGGCTATAGCCTTGGATATTTTTAACAATTTTGGCATTTTCTTAAAATGGCCGTAACTTGAAAAATTCAAGTCAGAATCAGCTCAAACTTGCTACACAGCGTAAGGACATTAATATGTATCAGAAAATGTAATAAAAATTTCGGGTGATTTTGGAGCCATTTTTTGAAAAAACCATGGGTTATAGCTTTGGGTATTTTTCAGAATTTTGGCATTTTCTTAAAATGGCTGTAACTTGAAAAATTCGAGTCGGAATCACCTCAAACTTGCTACACAGCATAAAGACATCAATATGTATTAGAAAATATAATAAGAACTTGGGGTGATTTTGGAGCAATTTTTTTGGACAAAACCATAGGCTATATAATATTATAGTCTTGTGTACTTTTTCAAATTTTGGTATTTTCTTAAAATGGCAATAACACAAAAATTGAAATCGGAATCAGCTTAAACTTTCTACACAGCATAGGGACATCAATATGTATCAGAAAAAGTAGTAAAATTAGGAGTGAAATTTTAGCCATTTTTTGGAAAAAACCATCGACTATAGCTTTGGATATTTTTCAAAATTCTGGCGTTTTCTTAAAATGGCTGTAACTTAAAAAATTGAAGCCAGGATTGAGTCAAATTTTCTATACAGCATAAGGTTATCAATATGTATCAAAAAATGTAATAAAAATTTAGGGCTGATTTCAAAGCCATTTTCTGGAAAAACCATGGGCTATAGCCTTGGGTACTTATCAAAATTTTGGCTTTTTCTTAAAATGGCCGTAACTTAAAAAATTTAAGTCTGATTCACCTCAAACTTGCTACACAGCATAAGGACATCAATACAGTGCATGTATGCTACATGTAAAAATATTAATAATAAATAATAAAAATTAAAAACAAGACAAATTTAGAAAATGTAGCGATACATACACAAAAGTTTATACATGTATGCGTCATTTCAATATTTCATGATCATTTTATATCAATTGACATATAAAAAAAGATGATACCCTATAAATTGTACTGTAGTGTTTATAATTAATTAATTATTTTACTTATTAATTTCTGGACTATACACACATACTTCTGCATACATTTACAAGTCCTCATACAACATCAATCAACGTACATATCAACATTAGTTAACACCTGCAGACACCCACGCAACTTATTCAATTATAATGTGTATATAAGCAGTTGCTTCTGCTAAAAGATATATAGTCTGAGTTAGGCAGTCATTAAATCCATTCTCATAGTTCCTAGTGAATCTCTCTTTCTCTTCTTAAACACTCATCCTCTCTTCACGGTCTTAGACCTCAACCCTCATTAATAGTATTCCACTTAAATACTATAGTACATTAATGGGGAATTAATATTGGTTGCAGTGAACATCCAGCAATACATGTCATTGTGTTTTGTTCTGAGTTGCTCAATGGGATTTGGCTGCTACATGTAAATCACCAAATGACACCAATACATGTATACATGTACATTTGCAAATTACCAAATTCAACTACTGCCAATACTTAAGTTCCAACAGTAAGAAAGACAGATGATACATGTATGGCCCCAGTAACAATGACAACAATACAACAATACATCATTATCATTATTCATAATATCATTCTTCAAAACATTGATTATTAGTACCAATCTAATACTAACTTGTCCAGTGAGTTGTCAAGGTTCCATGCATGAAGGCATGATACTAGGAGTCTAGGTGAGCTGATGGTTAGAGGGAGAAAGAGATAGAGAGGAGGGAAACAATGTAATTTGTGCATATACATGTACATGTACACTGCATTTAAAACTTGATATTTACATGTACATGTGTAACTGCCAAAAAATTTAAATGACATTATTGAAGCAAAAAAGTAAGCAAATGAAGGCAACATGAAAACCACAAAACATTTACAATACTTTTCAGCACATTAGTAACTTATACATGTACATGCACATGTAAGTAGTCAATATATGAAAATGTACATACACATGTATTTCAGTGACAATAATTACATGTACATGCATATTAATTACTATACACTTAATGGGCACTACATGTTGGTATTACATGTACTACAAATACATGTACATGTACATGTATTAGCAATTGAATGCTTTGGTGTGAGAGAGAAAGAGAAAGAAAGAGTGAGAGGGAGAGCAAAGCTTACATTAATATGAGGAGGACATGCTACAATGCTACTGACCACCCACCATGAACTGCAATAGTGTGGAACAATGTTCCTTTGAAGAGGTCCCACAATCTAACCGAGAAATCAGGACCACCAGATAACAAGTGATTGGTATCATAAGCAGTGCTATAGTCACAGGATACAACAGGAGGGGACTCTCCTCTGGTGACCTATTAAGAAATAATACTGAGACCATGCTATAGAGGAGGAGGAGAGAGAGAGGAAATGAAAAAACAGAGGTGATATGTACACTGTACATTGTAAATACATGTACACGTACAACTGTACATACATTGTAAGCAGACTAAAGGCATAGTAAACACTTGGTATTACTATTTCTACAGAAAAATATCCTATTCATATTGCATGTAATTACAATGTACATGTACATGTATGAATGTACATGTACATACATGGACATGTATACAATTATTGTACATCATCATTTGTATGCAGAGTACCTCTTGAGAACTTTCTCTTGGCTAGTAAGAGTTTGGGAGCTGCTTGAGCCAGACATTGCACGTGTATACACGATACACGAGTATTTAGACGAAAAACAGGTCTTCTAGTACATACAAGAACCAAAAATGAGTAGACGGAGTCTGAGGAGACGATTTTCATGTATTTATATTAACTATTAATAATTAAAGGGTGTGTCCACGTAGCAGTCAAAATGGCAGTTAGTTTGCTTAAACATGCCGTTAAAGACAGGAATGGATCCAATCATTTGCGTGGGCGCAATCTGCGCATGCGCAGTACTGACTAAATTGTACTTCAATTTATAATGTTCATAACTCAAACAAAAATGTAAAAAAACAGTTCAAACATGAATAAATGCTTGTTTAGCCACACATTTGATTTCAGGTTATTCTGTTGAGTCTACAAGGAATAAGCAATATTAATAATAAATGTAAAAAGTATATGTACTTTGCATTAATGTTTACAAAGAACTTTGTAGCCTATTTTCATCTCTAAAAACAAGCGTAACAGGGTAAAAAATATTCCTATAATTGATTTCACCACCTTGCAAGTACAACTTGGTCATTATTAAGACTTATAGAGGTTCTCTCTACCATATAATGCTTGTAGAAAAGTCTTTACACAGTATCTCTATGTTCTCTTGCTGTTAGAAAACTCTTTAACTTTTTCCCATGTGTAACCCGCCATTTTGTTTGCCGTGACCACGCCCACTCACGTAAAGGAGCGTGGGCGGGTGGTTGCTAAGGCTTGTTATTTCTCCAATACAACGTGTATAGAAGAAATGTAAGTGTGGACATACAAATAAATATATATATATATATATACATAGCGCGACGGTGAATTCAATTATAGGAAAGACCTGGGGGCTTCGCCCCCAGGTCGTTAATAATTTGACAGGAATGTCATTCTACAGATAACGAAAACAAATTTTATACAGCAATAATAGTTTTTACTGACCTAGAAATATACTGGTGTCACATTAAGTAGTGCCAAGGGAAATAAAGAGTTGATAATATATCTAGTCTTGGGGAAATGTTATCTATTTAACAGAGATAAGAAGTTAAAAATAAACCTTTCATTGCAAATGCCATACACATGGAGCTAGATATTTCTGTGGCCCAAAATTTCTGCTAATTATGCAGATTTTGAAAACTGTGAAAATTTAATCCTTTAAAATCAGTACACATTGAAAGGCATGGTGATTTTGCTAAAATAAAATCTGCAAAATTCACAGAAATTTTGGGCGACAGTAATTTCTAGCTACAATTAAAGAAATTTCTAGGTACAATTCTAAACATTAGTAGCATAATAAAATAAATCATTTCATGAATAATTATTCTATTAAGTACCAACATCTCCAAATATAGCATCCAGAGTTTCGTCCACCACCATGAACAATACTGATAGCTTTTCGTGACATTCTAATTATCATAAAAATAGCATACATGTAAATTCAAAACTACAAAACTAACAGCTTTAATAGTCAGAAGTACTGTAAAAGTGGAATATGTCATTGCTTGCATTATTTAATGCATGAATAAAAAATTTACGAATTTAAAAACTATACTGACTTAAAAACTAATTATAGACCACTGGAAGTGGGAATTGGAAATGAATTTCATTAATTTTATATACGGTATCTGCCCACATGTCATAATTGGCTGCCATTTTTGTTGGCAAGTTTGTTAAGGAAGTTGGCAATGAATGCAAGAAGAAAATGCCTCACTTACCTGCTGTAGCTCTATTAAAAGCTAAAATGTGCTTGTTATAAGAAAAAAGATCTGCCTTTAAGCTTCTTCTCCAAAAGATGTGGTCTAATTTGCCCCAAAATTCTCAATACAGGTTTGTTTTCATGCCAGCCCGTTTGTTCTCCATTAAAAGTTGTCAACCAAAATGGCAGCTGAATTTATTTCATCCTAAACCACACCTTACAACCGTAAAAATTTCTAATAATCTTCCTATGTAATCAATTTTTACTGCTAGTGGTCTATATTTATACACAGCTTACAGCTCAACCTTGTACCTACTTGAGCTCCTAGTCTCCTACTACACATGTAAGCAAAAACTCATGAGCAACCTCTTGTGATCCAATTCGCTGGCAAGGTATAAAATGCCTATAAAAAATAAATATATAAAATAGCGGCAGACATTTACAATAAATTTATCGTGTACTTATCAATATCAAGCTCCACTATCCCAGTACAGGTCATAATGGGGCATAGTTGGGGTTTCAAATTAATTAATTAATTAAATCACTACCTCTGGGGCCGTTCCCTTCAGTCAAATCCCCTACTAAATTTAAGGAACGTTAAACAACCACTCAACTGCTACTGAACTCAGCTCTGCTGGGTAAACTTAGCATTTTTGAAACGTAACTTGGTCAAACTAGCGAAGTCTTCCTATAGGCTTGTTGGAGAAAAATTCCTACCCTGGGGCATTCTCAGAGTGATGAACCTCCTATTAAATCCCTCATATTCCCCATAATGAGGCTTAAATTGACAGACACATTACTTACAGTTCTGAAATGAGTAATTGTGGTGGAAGGAACAAATGATAACCCAGGAAAGACTAAAAAGCCCATTTCCTCACACAAGAATAATTAGAAGATACATATAGGTGATTACAATAGTCACAGTATATAAAAAGGCATAATTTATAGCAGTCTGAGAATAAATTACCTAGTGCAAGGTTCTATTAGTCTAATCAGTGATCCAACTCATGCAAACAACTAGGCAAAAAGGCCTGGAACCACAAAGACAGCACTAGAAATATGAAAAACACTCAGTTGATGGCAGCCATTTTGTGATTTTTGTCCATGAGGGAGTAATGCGCATGCGTATTACAGATATAAAACCACCCACATAACTAATTGGATCCATTCCTGTCTCTAGACGCTTTGTTTGCTTAACCATGGATCCTTGATGGTCTTTTTAGTCCTTCTAGGAATAGCAGATGATGAAAACAGCAATAGAAAAGGTAGTAAAGATATTATCCTTTCAAATACTCAACATTTAAGTACAGGATACATGAAAAGTAAATGAAAAATTACCAAAATATAGACGAATTTGGGAAGCAATAAGTAAATGTACATACACGAAAGTTTGCCATTGAATACAAGTACATACACAACCTGCTTTTTTCAAAATACAAGTAAATACAAGTACACGAAAATTCCAGTAGACGTGCAACCTCTGGCTTGAGCTCCTGATAGAACTATAATACCACCATTGGACAATACACAGATCAACCAACCAAATTGTGTCAAAAATAAAGAAACAGTAATATTGGAAGAAGGACCAGCACTGATACTGGGATACTAATGGAAAGAGAGAGAGAGGAAGAGAGAGAGATACAGAGGGAGAGAAAATATAAAGAATTAATGCACATTTAAAACAATAACATAAAAATAGAAAGAAAGATCATATAACAGAAAGAATGAGAGAGATGAAGGTTTGAAAAAGAGGGTACAACACATTGTACATGTACATGTAAGGTTGGTAATATTGGAGGGAGTAATTTGGTGAATTTTGTTGAGTGGCAGGTTTCAATTTGGCAATTTGTGGCCATGTCCCATTGAGCATGTAATGATTGCAATGGTTGGGAATTCCCAGGTGACAACTGAGTCAATAAGGGAACAAGGAGTGGCTGGGGACTGCCATGAGTCAGAGAGAGAGCCAGTGAAATGAGACTTGAAATCAGGAGCGGCAGAACCTTCCTCTCAATGAAGCTTACCAATGATAGACTCCACACCTGCAGCTAATGATAAAAAGGAAGAGTATAACTATATAAAATATATTATTACAATTATTAAAATATTATTATCACAATATTATCACAATTTAATGTGGGAAACCCTGATTTACATAATGCTCCATTAATATTATCACTACCTTTATTCCATAATGCATTCCATTTCCATAATTATTAACAGTCTTAAGACACGTCCCATCTTTACCATCCCACAATGCTATGCAACTATTAATATAACATTAATAACTAGCCACACCCCACACCACTGAACGCACCCATTTTTACTAAGACTGACAATCCTGTCCCTCTCTCCAGACTCCATTCCTAGTAATAATAGTCTTGGACATAACTAGAAAAAGAGGGGCATTAATTGGAAACAAAAATGATGCATAAAGGCTTTTAAGTGATAGTGATAATTGGTCTAACCACAAATTCTCCGTTGATTCTCTTCCTGTATAAGTTCCAGATACAAATCTGTCCCGTTTTAGTACCAGTAGCTCCTCCTTTATCCTCCTCTGTCCTATTAAATACACAGTATAATAGTCAGTATCAAAATCCAAAGCTCTGTACCTGGTCATACAGGTAGTATCGTGTACTGGAAGATGATGGCCCCTAAACACAATAGGAACAGTAGTTTCATCATCATGACTAGACAGACTAGTTGGGGTATAAAAGTTTTCTTCACACGATGAATTAGACACCATTTTACACACGTGGACTGCGTGGGCAAGAACTTTGGGCGTGGCTTGATAAAGATAATTAATAAAGAAAGAACACTGATGAGTGGCCAGGACCAGAAAAAAGGTAAATTTATGAATTTTCTGTTTTAATACCATCATACCTTTCCTGATGCATGTATACATGCACTTTAACCGTTTAAATGCTGGAAAGGAAGTAGGTTCTGGCTACGCAAGCTTATGTTGTGTAGAAAGTTTGTGATTATTTTGATCAATATTAGATTTTTATTAATTTTTAAAGTTGCTCAAAAATGGGATCAAAGTCTCTGTGGGGTCATGGGCCAAATTTTACCAAAAAATGAAATTGAGGAAAATGTATGTTTTTATAATTTTCTGATACATAATGTACGGGTACATGTTTTTATGTTGTGTTGAGAGTTTGAGCTGATTTTTATCAAAATTGGATATTTATAAATTTTTACGGCTTGAGTGTTTGATTTTCTCATTTTCAGAATTTTATAATTCACATAAGTTACAATTAAGTAATGTGATTTTATTTATTTATTATTCTTCATAGGTTGAGTAGGTGGACTAGTCTTGCCCCGCCCCTTCACTACCTGTGGAGGAAGGAAGACCGTGTCTTACAGCTACTCTGTAAGTGATAGTAATAGTAAATATTGAAGGTAATATTTCTGGAAGAAATGGTAGTAACTTTAAAAATTGAAGCCGGAATCAGCTTAAACTTAGCACAAGTACATCAATATGTATTAGAAAATGTAATGAAAAAAATTTTGGGATTATTTTTTGCAAAAGAAACTATGGCCTTGACCAACCCTTGGCTATTTTTTTGAAAATTGGCCATTTAAAGGAATGCTCATAACTTTAAAAATATTTTTTGGAATCAGCTCAAAATTTCTACACAGCATAAGGACATCAATATTGCATCAGAAAATTTAATAAAATTTTGGGTGATTTTGGAGCCATTGTTTGGAACAAACCATGGACTATAGCCTCGAGTATTGTTTGAAAAATTGCCATTTCTAAAAATAGCTTTTACTTGAAAAATTTGTTGGGATCAGCTCAAACTTGCTACATAGCCTTAGTACATCAATTTTTATCAGAAAATGTAAAAATAATTATAGGTGATTTGACTGATTTCAGGGCCATGTTTTGGAAAAAAACATTGACTATGGCTTTAGTTATTATTCAAAAATTGGCTGTTTTTAAAATTGCTCATAATTAAAAAAATATTTCTCAGAAAAGTATAGTTTGAGAGAGAGAGGGAGATAAATTGCTTTTTATGTATAATCATTAGAAATAAAATAATAAAAATTCTTGTTATTGTTTTCAAGGAGTTGGATTATTGTTAATTTTCATATTTTAAAATTAATTATATTTTGTGAATGTCTACAATGCCACACTCCCTACTATAAAGCAATGCCAAAACATATTGTAGAGTAACTCCCCCCCCCCACTGTAATAACATGCACTATACCCCCTCCCTTTCACCCCTCTCTCTCTCTTATTATAGAATTATAGACTGTTTAAATCGTTAAATGATGTTCTTATACATGTACATGTACACTCCCTTTCCTCTCTTATTCTTTCACTTCTCTTTGATCAGCTTCTCTTTGATCAGCTCGCTAGTTTGTTCCTTATCTGTTGAGGTCCTTATCTCCTCTTCTAGCTGGTAAAGAAAAGCAGGAGATGGTCAAGAGATTATGGCAGCGAGCAAACCTCCCGTGAACAAGTTATACAACTCCATCCTCGACACTGTCCTGGTGTACGGGCTGGACGAGCACACAAGAGGATTGAATATTGACCAACAAGGAGTAAGCACCCTCTCTTTCACTGAGCAATCTCTCTCTTTGTATGGCTACTTGCATTATGATGTGCAGCCATGCTAATGTAAATTACTGAAACAAAATCCACTTGTGTCTTCTCACCCTTTTTATAATGATATCAAACTATAGTTGTGTTAGCTACATGTCACCATCTGATGTTAAATGGCAGCTAGCAGCATATCTTATTTTTTGTGTGTGCCTTTTTTTATAAAATTTGCTAAGCATAAAAAATTTAATTTCAGCCTTAGCCTGAGCATTGATGATATTTTGTTTTAAATGTACATAAATGTACATAAATGTCATAATGTGCATAAATGTACATAATGTGCATAAATGTCCATTCACTGCTCCAATATGTACATACATGTATGTACATATTGGAGCAGTGAATAGACATTGGGTCTATTATTAGCATTCACAAATATACATGTATCAGTGTACATTTATGTACATGTACCATTAAAACATATTAATGCTTATCCTTGTGGTGTGTGTCCTCACTTATAATGGGCTACCATTACTGTATGTTAACAGTTGGAGGGTGTTTGTATTCAAAGATCATGAAAGATGCACTTGCATTTTACTATACCCTATGTACATGTACATATATACATGCTCAATTTATTTGGTACCAGAGTAATAGTAATTACTGTGTAGTACATTTTGTAAATGCATGTACATGTACATCACCATGATAATAATATTACTTTAATGATACTACGTGTACATGTTCATGTATACCGTATATCGGGTATATTTCAATGCATTAATAATTTCGGAAAAAGCAATCCATTGCGAAAATAAATATTATGAAATTTTAAAATATGCGGATAAAAAGGAATAGAAGATATGTGGTATTGTACAATTATTATGAACACGTGGCTTCATAACTATCCATGGCTACATTCTAGTCTAACTCGAAGGCCATAAAGAGCCTTCTTTGCCAGTTAGAAGTGTTGCTAAAGTTGATTCAGAAGTGGAGAAGTCAGCAAATGCTTCGAATGACTTACCAGGCCAGGTGGTTGATGGAAATAATAGCAAGTAAAATATTTTCGGAATATAAAAGGCTTCCGAATTATTCCATCATTGAACTTAATATTTCCACGACTTTTCATGCATTGAAATATACCCGATATACGGTATGTACATAAGTGTATCTCTAACAGTTTTAAGGTTGAATTGAAACTAATAAACATTACCTATTCAGGCCTTATATGGTAAGGCTTGTATCGTAATCCTCATGTGAAAATTAAACATTTTAGTTTGACGATGTGA